TGCATCGGTGGTAGGATGGCCCCACAGCCAGCCGCCGTCGGTGGTTCCAGCGTCGTTCGGCGAACGGGCGACAGCGCCCTTTGTCCCCCCTCGTCGCGCGCTGGCGTCGCCGACTGGAGTTGAGGGGGGGGCAGAAGCAGCGGAGATGGGGGGGGTTGAGTCCACCGGTGAGGACTGGCCTCCTGGGGACCAGGGGCGGCGTCGCTCGGTTGGGCTGCGGATGCCGCAGAGGGCGCAGCTGGAGCGCCTGCGTGGGAGGGAGCGCCTGGCGGAGACTGCGATCCCAGTCGCCACGCTTCGTCGGCTCTGGCACGCGCAGCGGGCGATGGGGTATGTTGTGGAGATGCTGATGGACTCGCACTCCGTTCTACGGAGCTCAGCGAGCCCGTGCAAGATGCCTCATGATCCACTCCACCGCTGCGCGATGGCTGCAGCTGATCTAGCTGTCGTGTCAACGCGAGTGCAGCCCGCGCCCGCCCCGGGAACCGTGTTGGACCCGCGCCTGCTCGCCGCGATGCGGGCAGTATCGGCGAGCGTAGACTCGGCTGCAGCTGTAGACATCTTTGGCGGCGCCGTGTCAGCGCTGATGCTCCTGGGGGACTACGTGAAGGCCCTGCTTGAGGAAGCTGGAGTGGACCAAGTCGCATGACGGGCTCCCGTCGTGTATAGGTCCTTGTTGGGGAAGTGCGCCCCAGCGTGAGCGCTCTGGTAAGCTCGGTGAGGCTCTCCATGTTGGGCTGCCGAGTGTAGCGTGGGCGGGGTGTAGGCGCCGTATTTGTGTACTTGCCGTTGTCCTAGTTGATATTGTAGCCGTGTGTACTTGTCGCCCCGCACGCGCGGCCGGAGGCCGCCGACGCGAGCCGCCACCAAGGGTGGGAGAAAAAGAAGAACTGAAAACTAAACAAGAAGAATGAGCTAGGGAGAGGGCTTAAATAGCTAGGGAGGGACTCATGCTCTCTCTCTCTCTCTCAAGCGGTCCTTACGTATTAGCCTTATAAGTTGTACAGGTACAAATCAGAGATGTAAAGCAACCTGTGGTCCCCAGCAGCAGCCTACCGCTGCTCGGGAAACCTCGTCTAGGCTTCAAACACTGCTTCTAACTCCCCAAAGGTGAGAGGGGTCTCCATGTCGGCTCCAAAGGCAAAGGCTTTCTCTGTGCAGAGGTTGACCTTGCTACGCAGCGTCATGGCCTGTTGCCTCTGGAGTGTGACCGCCCACCGCTGGCGATAGGAGGCTGCCATTTTCTTAGCGAGCGCGGACTTTCTGTCCGCTTGTGGTTGCGGGTGGCCGCCAGCCCTGCGAGGAGAGAGAGGAACTCTAGCGTGTCGGCCGAGCAGCACCCGTAGGTCTCTATAGCCACCCCGAGGACGGTGACAAAGGTGAGAGACTCGTTGTAGAGGTCGCGTTTCTTCTCCTGGGCTTCGGCAGCGGCCCATCCTGTGTCTTTCCTCGCGTGTGGGTCGCGGTAGGAGATGGGGTCGATGATGGTGACATCACAGACCTAGACCTGTCCCGAGTCGGGGTGGCGCAGCGTGATGTCTGCTCGCTGTTGGGAGGTTTCGGGGAGGTACAGCATGGATTCCTTGCGGGCGATCCAGCCGGCCTCCTAGGCTCATGCCTAGGTTCACGAGGCCATCGTGGGTCCGCAGGAGGTGGTTGGGGAGGCGAGGGTCCTTCAGCTCCTTTTTGCCCCTGCAGGGATTCGGAGAGCCCCCGCCACGAGGGGTACCCCCTCCGGCGCGTGCTGGAGGGCGGTCTCACTTGTGGACCAGGCCCCGCACTTGGCGGGGTTGCACGCCAGGCCTGCTGCTGCGATGGCGTTGGTAAAGTGGTAGAACGCCGCCTCACATTCTTCAGGTGGCCCCATGAGGGTCACATCGTCGGCATAGGCCAGGGTGAGTACTTGTGGGTAGGCCTCTGCTGTGGCCACGGGGGCAGGGTGTAGGGTGATTGGGAATAGCTGTGGTCCCAGGGGGTCCCCCTTCCGTACTCCTTGCTCGCTGAGCAGCGGGGGGGAGCTGAACTCGTGGTCCAGGAACAGCGGTGCTGGGCTTCCGTAGGTGGTGAGTAGAGAGGGAGGAGCCCCGCGAGCGGGCTATTCCGCAGGGCCTCCATCATGGCTGCGCGTTCCGCGGAGTTAAACGCGTTTGCCATGTCGACTTGGATTACTAGGTCGCCCGGGTTCGACTGGAGATGCGTGCGGGAGTTGTGAATCGCTACCTCCGTGCCGCCGGGGACGCACACGCCGAACTGCAGTGGCGTGAGGTAGGCTGCTGCTGCCGAGGAGGTGAGCGTGATCGCCGCCTTGTTGACTACGCGCAGCAGGCATTCGCCCACGGCTATTGGGCGGACGCCGCCTCCTGACTTGGTGAATACCAGGAGTCGCGAGGAGGTTAGGAGTGTTGTCGACTCTTCGGGAATGTTTCCAGTGAGCACCGTGTTTGTGAGCGCCGTTAGGTGGCTCATGATATCGGCGTTGGTCAGGGCTGCTTCCCTCAGATGTTCGAACGTGGTGCCTGACGGACCTATTCCGACTCCATTCGGGCAGTGTCGAAGTACCGCCCGCAGCTCCGTGACTGAGATTTGCGGTGGTTGGCTTGCTTTCTGCGCCATGGCTCCTCTGGTGGGGGGCTGTTTGCGTAGGGCCCATGCGAGTAGGGCGTGTTCCGCTCGGGGCTGTTTCGCCCTGAGTGCAGCGAGCGTTTCAGTTGTTGGTTCGCAAACGGGGGTGGACTCCAGCGCCTGGAGTGCTTTGTGTAGGTTACCCCGTTTCACCAGGGTTTCCGCCCTGGCGAGCCTGCCTTTGGCGTCAGCTGCGTGTCGTGGGGCTGTGGGCAGCTCGCGCCACTCGTTGGTCGCAAACCGGCGAAACCGGTGTAACATGTGTTTGACGTCGGGTGCTCTGGTGGACTGTGTGGCTAGTGTTAGCCGAGGCAGAAACATTAGCAGGCGCCAGCCAGGCACAGAGTCTCGGTTCGCTGCCAGATGGAGCAGCGGCGTCAGCAGAGCAGATGCGAAGGCTGTCAGTATTTCGCGGGGGAGTCGCGGCGCCCGTGGTGGCAGGCGACTGTCGCGAAGCTTGTCCAGGTCCCAGCTGGCAACGAACTCAAAGAGTTCGGTTTTGTTCGCGAGTGCCAGAGGGGACAATACTGTCCGAGCTAGCGTTGACCGGCGGGAGATTGCCGGGCCGCGTCGGGTGTTGGAGAATGCGGCTCGGTTCTGCCGAATGCCATCCCGCCTGTCTGCGCCTCGGGGAAAGGGGACAGGAGCATGTCGTTGGGCTCGCCCTCCGGCGTGTCGTCGGCGTTGTCGCCGACCTCGTCACTGCGCTGCGAGCTTCGCGCACAGGGGTTGCAGGTTGCCGCCCTGACGCAGACGATTTTGCTACTGCAGTGCCCGTCGCTGCTGCCCCCGGCGGCGGCTGTCCTCTCGCCGCTCCGGGGGTCCCCTCTGGCGGACACGCGTATGGCATCGCCCAAGGGTCGGTCGCCTCCCTCTCTTGGCAGTCCTCCGCCCCCGCTTCCTCCGGTGCCCGCTCCGTCGCCTCCCCCTTCCCCGCCTGCTCCGTCGTTGCCTCCCCCTCCGCCTCCTCCTCCGCCTCCGACCCCTCCATCCCCGCCCGCGCCTTCTCAGCCGCCGCCAGTTGCACCACCAGCCGCCGGCGCTTGTGGCGGGGCGGCGGGGCTTGACCGAACTCTGGCCTCTCCGCCCTCTCCTGTGCGTCCCCCAAAGCCTCTCCGTCATGGCGGCCAGGGTTGGTCACCTGTCGCGTCGCGCTCGCCTCTTCCGCACGGAAGACGAAGGGTCCTTGGAGTGACGCCTGTCTGTTCGTCAACGGAGTCGCCGCGCCGTCCGGGCCAGGCGTGCGGTGCGTCGGGTCCGCCTCTGCAGCGTGGCTCGGAGTCGTCGCGTAGCGGGGGGTGTTCTCACCAGCGGCCCGCTGTAGTGCCGTATTCTCCAGTGGAGGCGATGGCCGGGGTCGTCGCATGTATTGGAGCTGTGGCGGAGGTACTGGATTGCCTCCGCCTCCCCCCCTTTGCAGCCCCCTCCGCGGAAACCAGAGGCTGGGCGTCAGTGGCGGCCCGCGATGTCCCGCCGCCAGCAGCGGCGCGCCATGGAGGCGGCGTCGCTGCTCCTCTGGCGGCTTGCTTACGGAATGCCGCCAGGAGCAGAGGCGGGGGAGCTCAATCCTGCTCCCCGCGCTGTCGATGAATTGAATCGGTCGCTCGTGACGAATCAGCGCCCGGCGATCTTGGCCGCTTGCGCGGCTGTGCTTCGGGCGCTGGAGAGTCGGGCTGGTGCCCTTGTCCCGCCGTCGGCGTTGGAGCAGTGAGGCGGGGCAGTCAGCCACCGAGTTCGGCCGTTCCCCACCTTCAGGCGCCGCAGTGGGCTCCGTAGCCATAGGATCTAAACTAAATAATGAGCTTGGAGATGCGCTCGAAGGCCTTATATATCATGGGCACTCCTCTCTCTCTCTCTCTCTCTCTCTCTCTCTCTCTCTCTCTCTCTCTCTCTCTCTCTCTCTCTCTCTCTCTCTCTCTCTCTCTCTCTCTTCTCTCTCTCTCTCTCTCTCTCGCTCTCTCTCTCTCTCTCTCTCTCTCTCTCTCTCTCTCTCTCTCTCTCTCTCTCTCTCTCTCTCTTCCCCTCTTCCTCATGTCTCACCAATCCCCATCTTCCCTTGCCTTTTCTCACGCTTACACAAAGTCTTAGTTGCCGGATTTGTCAGCTAAGGCTAATAGGTTCACAGTGAATGGAAGTCGCGAGCGGGGAACAGGGATGAGATAGCACTTTGAGACATGTCATGGTGTGTTCATCCCAGGCCCTGTCTCAAGCACCACTTATTCATGCACCACCCTAGTCCAGCTCTCTTTTTCCACACCATCCGTCCTTCATCGCCTATTTGGGCTTGCCTGCCAACTCCTCTCACTCATTTCTCTTCTTTCCACGTCTCTCGCCATTCCAACCCGCCCCTTGCTCCCTTGCATGGCACCCGATTTCAGGTGCTTGGCACGGCTGTGGGCGGCACAGCAGAAATAGTGGGTCACAATGTGTCGGGGCTGCTGCACCCCGTGCGCTTCAAGGGAGTGCCGCTCTTGGCTCGCCACCTTGCCTTGCTCTTGCGCCGTCCCAGCCTGCGCCGGGAGATGGGCGCCAGGGGGCGTGAGGAGGTCCGACAGCGCTTCCTCGCCCAACTCATGTTCGCACACATGGGGACGGTCATTGGGGATGCGCTGAGAGCAGCCGATGCAAGCCAGCAGGTTGGCTAACCACAGCTTTGGGTGCTGTAAAGGCGTGTGAACAAGCAACGATCAAAACGTTCACTCAGGGCACTCTCGAAAGGGTGTCCCTACAGCCAGGAATTGGATATTGTGAACCATGGCAAATGTGACTCTGGACCAAGGTCCGTGCTAGATTTGAAACCTGTCACAATATCAGACTGAATATTGTCAACTTATACATTTGTTATGTATGCCTAGTTATAGGCTAGACAGGTACATGCTCCTAGAGAGTACAAACAACCCACATCTCATATAACACCCTGTATGCCCTTGCTTTGTTAATTCTGCTATTCCAACATGGTATCACGCTAGGTAGGTTCCACCCACCCGCGCTTCCGCATTAGCCTACCGTAGTGCGCTCCGCCCTCGTCCACCGCGCCGCCCTAACCTGCTGCGGCGGCCCCATTTCCCGCCGCGCAGCCCTAGCCTGCTGCGCCGCCCTAGTCAGCCGCGCTGTCCCAGTCATGCCGCGCTGCCCTAGCCTGCCGCGCGGGCTCTGCTCCACCGCATCGCCCTAGCTCGGGACGCCGAACCCGTTCCGCCGCGCTGCCCTAGCCTGCTCGCGCTGGCCCCGTCTCGCCGCGCCTCGCTGGCTTGCCGCACCGGCCCCGCCTAGCCGTTTCGACCTCGCCTGTCGCGCAGGCCCCGTCTAGCCGCGCCGCCCCGTCTCGCCGCGCAGGCCCCGTCTTGCCGCGCAAGCCCCGTCTCGCTGCGCCGCCCCCGCTCGCCGCACGGGCCTCAGCTTGCCGCGCGGTCCCCGCTCGCCGCCGGACCCTAGCTCGTCGCCGGCCCCAGCTCGACGCCGGCCCCAGCTTGACGCGGGCCTCGGCTCGACGCTGGCCCCAGCATTGCCGTGCCGCCCAGCTCGCCACCTGCCCCCGCCGCCGGGCTGCCCTTGCTTGCAACCGGCCTCAGCTCGCCGCACCGCCCACCTCGCCGCCGGCCCCGGCCTGCCGAACCACCCCAGCTCTCAGCCGGCCCCAGCTCGTCGTGCCGCCCCAGCTCGCCTTGCCGGCTCCTCGACGCCGCCGGTCTTGGTTTCAAACTGAGCCGGCGCCTCGGCCGGCTGTCTCCTCTGTCGCGGCTTCACCGCGTCCCGCCGCACACTACCGCAATCCACCGCACTCCACCGCACACTACCACTCTTCACCACACTTCACCGCTCTCCACCGCTCTCTCCCCTACATCGCTCCTCCTCGAGCGGTCCTCAGCTGCTGCAGCTGTGGTGATGGCGGACACTGTGCTCCCCCTGGACGCAGAGGGTCGGGCAGTTGACTTCGAGGCGTTGCCCCGACGACCCCACGCTTGCTGAGCGCGAGGCTTTCACAGTTGCTGAGCTCGCTCGCTCTGTCTGGGAGTCGCGTAACGCTATTACACAGCTTGCCATCAGCCACACTCTCCCCCTGTCCGAGTGTCCCAGCTTTCAGGCCGTAGAGACTGCAAAGGAGTACCTAGATGCTGTTATTGCGCGCTGCTCCATTCCTGCAATCTGAGACGATGTACCGTACCGTCAACTGGTCACTCTGAACAAGATCTCGGACGAAGAAATGTCAAAGTTCGATGTGCTTGGTGCGAGAGTGGAACACAGGATCCTTGGTGAGGTGAATGGCGCTCTGGTTGTCACACCACAGGGTGGGCGACTGCTGGGGGTAGCCTAATTAAGCGAGGAGAAAGGAGAGCCAGCGTGCCTCTTGAGCAGCCATTGTGCCTGCGTAGGGCTCGGCCTCGCACGACAACAGGGAGACTGCAGAGGACCGAGTGGAGCAGCTGATGACTCCGCTACCAAGGGTGAAGCAGTACCCATGGGAGGAGCGTCTGTCAGTCTGGTCATCGACCCATGAGGAGTCTGTGTATCCCTCGAGCTTGACTGGAGAGGTACCACCAAGAGTGAGGATGTGAGACTTGGTGGCTTGTAGATAGCGGAGGACCCTCTTGGCTGCAGACTAATGGGAGGCAGTGTAGCGTCTAGAGGAGACATACAAAGAGAGGACACTAACCAGGTAAGCCAAGTCTGGTCGAGTGCACATCATGGCATACATGAGTGAACCGACTAGCTCAGGATACGGATCCTTGCAGGCGTCAGGAGAAGGAATCGGAGGGGACATGAGCTGATGGTGTGATGGGAGTGGAGTGGAGACAGAGTTACTGGAGTCCATGTCGAACCGCATGAGAAGGTTGTTAATGTAGGACTCCTGGGAGAGGGTGATTGTGCTAGCCTGGTGGTCACGAGTGATCTCCATTCCCAGGTAGTTCTTGAGGTCACCAAGATCCTTCATGAGAACGGCGGAGCTGAGAGCAAACTGGACAGCTGCGATCTCGGCTCGATCTCTGGCGACTAGAATGAAGTCGTCGACGTAGACGAGGATGTAGAAGGGTTTGGAGAAGTGACGAAGGAAGAGACAGGAATCTGAGGCGGAGGGATGAAACTCAAGTGCGAGGAGGACTTCCTTCACCATGTTGTGCCACTCACGAGGAGCCTGCTTGAGGCCATACACTGGGTATTCAGCTTCCACACTATGCTGGGTAAGTGCCAGGAAACCTCGGTGGGCGTTCCATGTGAACATCCTCCTTGAGCTGGCCATGGAGAAAGGCGAAGGAGGCGTCCATGGACTTGATCTCGAAGTTGCCGCGAGCGGCTATATCAAGAAGAGCGCGCACAGTTGGGAGCTTGGCCATGGGCGAGAATGTTTCGAAGAAGTCGAGATACTCCTTTTGGGTGAAACCCTTTGCCACGTATCGTGCCTTGAACAGTAAAGCTTCGCATGGGAGTTGTGTAACTCGGAAGATCCATTTTAAGCCGATGATGTTAACACCAGAAGCGGGAACGACATCGTCAAAGCTGTTGTTGCAAATGAACGCCTCGTTCTCCACATCTATTGCTGCCTTCCACTCCTTATAAGGCCCCAAGAGAGCTTCCTCTTATGTGCTAGGAGTCGGAATGGTCATGATTTCGGTGAAGTTGAGGGAAGGGCAGTCAGTAATGTCCGGGAAGATGTGAGAGAGAAATTGGCAGACCGCATGAAGGTCAAACAACTCCTCATGCCTGTCCTCTAGAAGTGCGTGGGGGGGAGTACGGATGGAGGGGACATCACCCCCGACAGGAGGAGGAAGGGTGACCGAACACCGAATGGAGAAGGCTGCTGGTCCCAATGCGAGAGGCGGAGCCGGTCCCTTGGAACGAGTTCGACTAGAGACCGGAGACGAAGGCGGTTGCGGTGGGACCAGAGGGACTGGGCGCCTCAGGTAGGAGAGTGGTGAGCCGGGCTCGACGCGCGGGGAAGGCGGAGTAGGAGGAGGTGCCACTGCGGAGAATACCGGGGAGGACGGGTGAGATACGCCGGACGGAGAAATCCCCAGAGAAGGGGCAGCGGCCGGATGTGGGGCATCAAAGTCTGGCCATACAAGCGTCGGAGGCGGTGGAGGAGGCTCGCCCGTGGTCGCAGAGTGGAAGTGGCGTGTCTCATCGAAGTCGACATCACGGCTGCGAATCAGCTGTCTGGTGATGGGGTTGAGGAATTAGTTAGGGGAGTCGGAGTTGTGCCCCAGGTACATGCAGGTCTGGGTTTTGGGACCAAGCTTGCCACCTTGCTTCCTGCGCGTGGGGGGGCTGAGCAACACATACACGGTACACGTCGAGACGCGTAGAGAGCAAGCGGAAGGCGTGGCCCCAAGCCAGAGAGTGGTAGGTGTGGTGTCGGGCTGGGGGGGATGTGGATAAAGATTGTAGAGGAGTGCCGCATGGAAGAGGGCATATCCTCAGAGTGACCGTGGTGGTTTGGCGTGAATGAGGAGGGAGCGAGCGATCTGAACCAAGGTGTGGTTGCAGCTCTCTGCAATGCCGTTCTGCTGCGGGCTTTAGAGGAGCGTGAAGGTTTGCCGAATCCCTTTGGGCCGCGCAGAAGTTGTCGAGGTTGCCATTGCGAAATTCTCCACTACCATCAAAATGGAGGCACTTCAGAGGAGTGCCGAACGTGACTTGAGCCTGGCGCACCCATGCCATGATGAGGGCAGGTGCCTCCGCCTTGGTGTGCAGGAGGTGCACGGAAACATACCGCGAGTGGTCATCGACTAGTGTAAGAAAGTACCGATGACCGCCTAGGGATGCGACTAGAGCTGGGCCCCAGACATCCATGTGCACTAGGTCCAGCGGAGCAGCTGGGACAGATGGAGAGGAAGGGTGTTGCTGCTGCCTGAGATTGCTCTTGGTGCAGTCCAGGCAGGTGGGTGTAGGTGAGTCTGTTGGTGGAGGAAGCGCCGACGGGAGGCCAAGAAGAAGTTTCTTGGAAGCGATATCGGCAAGCGTATGGAAGTTGGGGTGACCCAAGCGATGGTGGTAGAGGATGGTTGGGTTGGCGAAGTTGCGACAGGAACACGGAGTGGTGTTGGCAGCTTGCGCTTGGGAGAGGGCGGCGAGAGGTGCAAGTGAACGCAGCGTGTAGAGCTTGGTGCTGTTGAGTATGAAGCGTGCTAGGAGCTTGTTTGACATAGGGTCGAGGAGGTCACAGTGATCCGAGTGCGCTGGGAAGATCGTGGTGAAGCCTGCCCGTTGGAGCTCGTGTTGGGCCACGGGATTGTGGCGTAGTGTGGGAACACACATACCGGTGACACTGCCCCAAGGGAAAGCTGGGCACGGAACTGTGGAGGAGCCTTTGGCATGTATTGTGAAACTTGAGTCTGCTCCTAGTAGAGGGATTGGTGTCTCGTATGGCTTGAAGGAGTGTTCTTCCTTGAGAACTGTGTGAATGGCCCCACTGTCGAGGGTGAACTCTATTGTGGCTGAGGTGCTTTGTGAGCCGGGACAATGCGAAATTGTCTCGTTAATCATGGAAGTGCCAAGGAACAACATGTTGAGGCGCACATCAGCACGGGAAGCTACAGCAGCCTGCACGGATTCCTGCACTTCGACTTGATTGACCTTGCGAGGAGCACGATTGACCATCCAGCTTGGCTGCTTCGAGGCGGTCCCACTGACGGCATACCACTCATCATCCTTCTTCTTGAAGCAGGAGGCGAGGGCGTGGTTGGTGCGACCACACATCTGGCTGGCACGAGGGCCATGCTTGATGACGTAGGGACACGGGGGGAAGCGGTTGCGCTGGAATGGTGCCGAAGCGGCATAGGTCTGAGGCACAGGAGCGCGGATTGCATTGGCCTTGGCTTAAGCGATGTTGTCCATTTCGGCAGAAAGGAGTGCGGATGAGACCTTGGCAAATGTGAGGGTCGCAGGAGCAAGGCCCAAGAGCATCTTGCGTGTGACTTGTATGGCCGCTTATGCCTCTTACTCGCCG